ATTTGCACATGTTTTGTCTTGCCAGTTTACACATTCAAGCAATTTTAACTCGCGCGCTGTTTTCTGTGCGCTCAGCCGCTGCCGCACACACTCGAAGTGCGCACACGCAGAGAGAGAGACACCGCGTGAACAGCGAATTGATTCCTCTTTCACATACACACAAAGTTATGTTAAAATACCCGTTACGGCTGAGAAAAAAAAACAGATGTGTGTCAGTATTAGGTCCGTGCATTTGGTCTAAAAGAGACAGCAGCCAATAAATACCTGTTTCTGTCTGCTAATCAAATAACACCACAGCTCTAACAAAGATTAATCTGTATTTAACTTGTGCAGTGAGCACTATTGTGTTATTTTACACTTAATTATTAAATTTCTGCACCTGAATGCTACTGTTACTTTGTAACTGTGTTTTGTTGTTTTCATCTATGCTTGTAATTTGTGTAATTGTTCTTGTTTTATTACTAACTTTATTAAAGCTAGTAGTTTTGCTGTGGTATAGAAGTACTTAAAGTAAGCTTTCACTAATTTGTTTTTATCCGTAATATGATCCGAACCGTGAGTTTTGTGATCCGTTGCATTACTAATGTCTTCTCTTTCCACAGGTTTCTTTCTTCTCATCTTTATGGAATCATCCATTTTTCACTATCAGCTGTGTGACTCTGATTGGCCTTTTCTTTGCTGGAATACACAAACGAGTTGTCGCACCATCTATGTATCCTTCTTAATACAGGAAATTTGTACTGTCTATTTGTACGGTCTTCATTGTATTCAGCTAATCTGTTGACTATTAACAATTACAAAACTGCAGATGATAGGTGACTCCCAAATCTCTCCTTAACCACTTGCAGTATTGCAGCACGCTGCCGGACAGTACTAGCAGAATATAACATGTCCTGTGATGATGTGAGTACTTGTGTCCTTTGAATTGCCCATTGTGATCTTTCAGTTTCACTGCTTTAAGAATCCAAAGTAACTTTTCTTGTGCAAACATTTGTATTTTTTCCTCTCACATACTAGACGGGGAAACTTATCCTGAAACCACGGCCTCATATCCAATAGCACTTTGAAGAGACAGAAATGGAGAGTATTTCATATCAACATATTAATCATCAAGATTGCACATAGGCCTCAATGCCAGGAGTTTATCCAAAGTGTGTGAGGGTTGACCTCCCAAATAGGACTCTAAATTCCCTCTGCAATATATGAAGAAGCAATGAGAGCTCAAAAGGAAATGTCCGTTTTGAAGAAAAACATTGTTTCTGCTATTTTTAGATAACATCCTTATATTTCTGTTGAAAATTTGAGTTTTATTTGATTGTGGATTTTGATATCCTCATTTGTAAAGCTGTTCTATTTTAGATGCATACGGTGTATGTATTTTTAAGTAAATTGCTGAACACATAATAAATATTAAAGTGTAGATATTTGTTCACCTTAAGCTTGTTTCTACATATGTAGGCAACATTTGTGAAATGTTTATGCCTATGACATGATGTGCTGCTTTTTGTTGTTTTTAAAAGTACTTTTATACGACCAAAGGCTGCACTAGTTGTTTAACATAAAAGGTAGACAGGCAAATGCATCTTAAATGAGTGTCATGGTTGGCTGAGATTTTATTTACTTTCACTCCAGAGTCAAAGTCTACAAGAAAATCTTTAAATGAGCTGTGTTGGCAATAATAAAAGTTGTTTGTTATATGCTGTTTGTTGCTATTTATTATTAACCTGCAAACCAGTTAACTTGTCAGCCAATGTGTCTGCTTATCAAATTCCTATAGCCCAAACAGTACAGCATACACTCAAAATATTATGGAAGCATCCGAATGGACTATGTGAACAATGCAAAGTAGAAGAAACAGTAACCCATGCAATTCTTGACTGTAAGAAATATGAAGAAAGAAGTAATATGATTCAAGAAATCAAGAAGAATGGAATTCAGGTGGTACATTTGAAATCTTTAATAAAATGGGCAAGTGAAATAAATAGTAAAGCTTTCTTTAATTTTCTTAAAAGGACGGGATTAATAAGTAGAATGTACCTCTCTGTTCCACACTCCGGAGCAGAAGGTGGCGGTAATGCACCTAATTATGTTGGTTGCCAGCCGCCGTTAAAAGCCAAGAAGAAGACAGTACAACATGGTGCTAGCAATGCAAAGGTTAAAGGGGTCATATGATGCTATTTTAAAGATCATTATTTTGTGTATTTGGTGTAACAGAATATGTTGA